CATACCTGTCGCTTTTGAGACATTTAGTTTTTGTAGGCGTTTGGAAACACTATCTATAGTAATATCTGCGAAGTGAAAATTTTCTTTAGAAAGAAGCACAGTACTTTCATAAATTACTTGATCATTTAAAGCATCAGTGCTTTGACATGCTGATTCAGCAGCCATCTTCATTCCAATATTTATAAAATATTCATTTAATGTTTCAGTAATAGATTTATCATCAGAAATAATATCATCATTTACTTTCAGTTCATTAATATTTGCATTCTTATGCTTTCTTCCTAAGAGCGAATTTATCCAAGCCCATCCACTTTTACTGTCCCCCATTTGAGAGCTTGCCTGGATTTTATCACAAAAGTACTTAGATTTTGCTTTCCGCATGTTTATATTTACTTCATTACGTAGTGTTTTATACAATTCCCACTGTGACTCCGAATCATATTTTATGGCCTTTTTTTGTGATAGTCCCTTTTTCTCATAAGTTCTTTAATTTGAGGATTAATCCATGGGACAGGGTTATTCCTTATTCGCTTGTGGCGCAGAGGGGCATGTCTATTAAGTGCATCTAATAATAGTGATTTCAAGACTTGCCAACATAAATTGGGATCTCCAAACTGATAGACCATCTCCCAAGGCAATTGAGACACATCCCGAATGAAATCATTTTCGACAAAGTTTTTAAAGTTACGAACCTGACGAATTTTTTGCCTTCCATTCGGTAGTGTAAATTTTCTCACAGCGTAGACAAGGCTGTGATCTAAAATTCCCAGGTGAATGACACCTGATCTGGAAATATTTTCTGGTCTATTTGTTAATATTAAATCAATTAGTGTAGCTGATTTAGGAGTTAGCCTTGTAGATTCTTTAATAAGTTGGTCTATCTGATACAGAGAACATAAAAATTGCAACTTACCTGTGTGAGGGTCAGGTATAGTTTTACTGACATCACAATTTAGATCTCCTATGAGGATTAGCTCCTTATCTTCATTATCACATTTTGCTAAAAAGCTTGCCCAGTAATCAAATATATTCATAAGAGAATTTGGTGGTCTATACCACGTGCTTATTAGCAGTGATTTATTGTAGGGTAAACTTAATTCAATGCAGACCATCTCAAGTTCATCAGTGATTAGATCTATTCTATCTGAGAATGATATGTTTTGGCGAACATATAGAACCACACCACCACCAAACCTATTTCGATCTTTACGAATTATATTAAAACCATCAATATGTATCTCATTATTTGAAATCTGATTATCAATTTTGGACTCATTAATTGCAAGAATGTCAAGGGCGTTATTGTTAAGGATTAAGCGAATTTCATCCAGATGTTTCATAAGCTATTTACATTTAAGTTGGCTATCTTCAAACCTTTACTTTTGGCGATTATGTTAATTTCACTATCTATGCCTAATAAAGAATTGCTTGGCACATCTTGACAATTTACTTGTTCACGTTCATTATCGCATTTAGTAGTTCTGCCAGATGGTTTATTGTGTTCTTTGGAAAATCCTGACGGGAATGTTTTTGTGGGCGCAGTGAACTTAAGGATTGCCCATCCCTAAGGAACTTAATAAAATGTGTAGCTAGTATGGCAGTCCCCTTTGCATTTAGATGCAGGCCACTAGAGTTCAAACATGTCTCATCTATTGACATATTACTTATAAATGTCACATCATGCTTAGATGACAAACTCTGAACTTTCTCATTAATTTCTTCTATTTTTTATATTAAATCACTATCCTGTCTCAATGTAAGTCCAGAAATTCCAATTTTAGAATTAGGGAATTTCTGTTTAGCTGTTGTAATAAGTTTTTCCATGTTACCAACACATTCGTCTATAGATTCAACAGGGACATCATTTGTCCCTGCGTGAATAACAACATGAGACGGGTCCGGTTTAATATTAATTTTGGCAAGCTCATTAGTTATTTCTATAGTTGTTTCACCTGGATATGTGAATTTATAAACTTTCCTTTTTGAGAGTTTTACCGGACTAACATTTTTGATTATTGAATCCCCAATAAGTGCAATACCTTTCTTTGGTACTCGATCACTGTTACCACTTGTACCTTGCGTTCTGTCATCCTTGGGCTCTGTAGATTTACTTGTACTCTCAGACATATTTTGACTAGGAGTTGGTTGTTGTATATCAGAATCAATATTAATTACGGAAGCATCAAAGTCACTGTTATTGTTTAGTTCATTTGCCTCGTCCTCTAAAGACGAGAACTGGTTGTGCAGCCTTGTAACCTCGTTACCTTTTTGATTCTCACTTCTTGTATGAACCGTACACCATGGATTTCTTGGTTGAGTCGTTTGACTGCGAACGTTGTCCCCTACATCTTTAACAGCATTAGCACAATCCTCATTCATTAACCGAATAACCGTCACGAGACTAGCTTTTTCGCTTTCCGCAGCTACTAATTTAGAACTGGTTTCGGACAATAGACATTCAAGTTTATGTACGTCAGATTTAAGTGCCATATTTGCTTTTTTAATAAGTCGTTTTCTTGGGCAAGTTGATTATCTCTCACTTGGCTATTACGAATTTCATACCCATCTACAAGCTCGTTCAATACTATGGTCGTTTCGGATTTATATATTTCAAATTCGTTAGACAATGCATTCAAGCGATTCATAACATCATCCAGTGCGTTTCCCTCCACACATATCGAAATTTCTTTAAGGGTTTGCTCAGATCCATTTGTAGCGCCATTATTAGTTGAAAAGTGTGCAGAGTCATTTTGAGAAGCATCAAAATCGAACAGTTCAGCATTCGACATGTTCGTATTTACCATAAAGCTATTAATATTCGGCAGGGAAGGCATATGCGTGGGTGAGGCATCAGCAAAGTCGTCAACTCCCAAATTGCTTATGTTATTCGGTGAAATAGTGGCTATTCTTTGCAAAATATCGGAGTATTCATCTTTCATGGGACCATCCAACAACACACTTCGGTTTTCGTACCAGCGTACAGTGATATCTTTCGTCTTCAGCTGTTTACAACCGCCACGCGGAACCTTCCACTCGCCTTTGATGTTTAATATGTCATTAACAAATTTCTCAAATAAATCAAAATCACCAAGCCATTTAAGTTTTCTATTTGTGAAACTTAGTGGATTTATTTTAGTTATGTCACCTTGAGACATATTGATCGGTTTTAGCTTAGTATATCTTCAAAAATATCGCAGAGCTTCCAAGACACGTCCGTTCAGCTCCGTAGACCCGAAGCGAGAGGGATTCGGCGAAATATTGAGTTTGCGATTCTTGAGCACGGTTTTTGTGATAACTATATCGAGCCACCTTAAATTAAAGTGACAATGGGAGCCTTTTTATAGATTTTTAAAAATCCTGAAACTGATCCTGCATGCATATTGATCTATGATTTAAATACAACAAATTAGTTACATTGTAGTACAATGTGGCAATCGGACTGAATAGTACTTGTTTTGTTATATATATATATATATATATATATATATATATATATATATATATATATATATATATATATATATATATATATATATATATATATATATATATATATATATATATATATATATATATATATATATATTAGGTTGAATGAAAACCATGCATGCATATATATATATATATATATATATATATATATATATATATATATATATATATATATGGTTTTGATGTCCCACATTCGTGAGGCATCAAAGGTAACTGTAAATAGCAGTTACTTTCATCCTGCTCTGAGGCCCATAAGGCCGAAACGGTACCGTCTGTAGTTATATACAGATATATATATATATATATATATATATATATATATATATATATATATATATATATATATATATATATATATATATATATATATATATATATATATATATATATATATATATATATATATATATATATATATATATATATATATAATCATTACATGGACATTTTTAGTAGGATCCTGGTTAAAAAAGATTCAATAAAGGTTGAGCAATTGCGATTGTTCATGTAACTCGTAAAAGGGTCAAGATGGTGCCATATGGGAGGGGGGGGGGAGTGGCATGTTGCACTTGTCACACAGCAAAAAATCATTTTCTTATTAAGAAAAAAATTTCTTAATTTAAGAAAAAAAATCTTAAAATAAGAAAATAATTTTCTTAGTAAGAAAAAATTTTCTTGAAATAAGAAATTTTTGAATCCCAATATATCTTTTTCTTAAAATAAGAAAAAAATTTCTTAATAAGAAAACATTTTCTTAAAATAAGAAAATTTTTCTTATAATTTCTTAGTTATCGCGACAGCATTTTCTTAAGAAAATACGATTTTCTTACTTTAAGAATATGTTCCTAAGACAAGAAATGAAATTCTTAAAATACAAAATTATAAAATAGTAAGACATTATTACTTAAATTTTCGAAGCAAGAAAATGTAAAATGCTAGTGTTATAGTACAACTGATATCTTAACAAGACTTAGAATAACGTAGCTATATCTTATTGCGTCAGGTAAATTTGTAGTTTTTATTTCGAATTGAAGAGACTATATGACCGGCAGCTCACGGTTGATCAAACACTAAATGGCCGGCAGTACATTGACTACTGTATATAGTTAAAGTTGAATCTTCGGTATAAGATAGATAAACCGATCCCCAATCCCAAACCCTTCTATAACCCTAACCCCTAACCTTTTGAGAGTTAGACCGGCTGCCGGAAATATAGTCACTTTGTTTTTATTTCGTTTCCAAAATTTGAGCTGGTTTCAGTTTTATTGAATCGCTGAAGAGAATTTTTGCCCTCCGGAATTTTTATCCCAGCTTTATCCAAGCATAGATGATCCAAGCAGGAATAGTTCGCCATAGTTCGCGTATTCACTAAACGCCTGGTACCTAGTTTACCTTTTAGAACGCGGAGCATCGCGGAATAGCGTCGTTTTACATTTTTGTGAAAAATTGTATAATAATTATGGCATTCACAGCGCCTTCAAGGCAATTTAAATGGCAAATAACGATGGGAAAAGCATCAGAAAGTCCTTAAAATGTTGTTCAGATACCACAGGTAAGAATAATTGTATATTTGACTTGTTATTTAAACATATTCATTGCGAAATAATGTAGTGATTATGACTGTTTACTTGAGCGAAGTGTGAAAATATTCCATTGAATGTTTGAATTTGCCGCGTTCGTTTTGCATATAAAACATGCAAATGTTGCTTTCAGGCAAGGAACGGAAGATTAAAATATAAATTCAAATCTATTGTTGTGAATTCCATACTAATTTACGCACTAATATTAACTCTTTCTCAACAGGGCCCAGTTCGCGTCGATCGCGAGCGATCGACGGCTCGAAATTTCATACTTTCGGTTCAGTGCATGCTATGAAGACAGAAATACCA